TCATGAGGAGAACCACAAAAAAAAAAAAGATCCCAACTGCCTGGAGATTAGAGCGCTGCACAACAGAAGGGTTATTTATCACCTGTCATGTTCTTTAACAACTTTAAAAGCTGTTAGCCGTGTGACGTTTGGTTGGCCTTCAGCTGAGATCTTATCTCATTTCACCAAAATCTGAAAACACAACTAAGCCCTATTTTATAGTTTGTTTGTTTTTTAATTTAGGCCAACATTAGCGTTAGACGGTGCTGATTTTAGTCTCTTTTGGGAGATGATCAAGCATCCCTAAATTTTAACTCTGCACCCCTGAAAATTTAGCGATCATCATCATTGACTGTGATTTTTTTAAGAAAACTCAGTTCTCAAATCTTAAATTCATCAAAATATTTAAATTTGAAATAAATATGGAGTAAATGATGACACTCTTAAACGGGCCAGTTTGCAGGAGTCAGATCCTCAGCGCCTCCTGTCAATCAACCCAGTAGGCTTATCAGCAACTGACCAATCAGCGACCTCAATTTGTCCTGAAGTGAACGCCCCTTACCTGCAGGAGCTCCACCCCCTTTTTCTCCAACAACATCGTCAAGGTTTTGCATTACGAACACTTTGCAGAGTGATTTCGTGAAAAATCATCAGGAAAAAATGGCTAAACGTTGTCGATGGAAGCGAAGTAATCTGATTAAACGGCCATTCGGAATAAAAATGCATCATGTAAACGCACCATTCAGATTATTCTTTGTTGATTCAGCTCGATCCGAATGAATTTGTAATCAGAATGAGAGGGGTGGTTTATGCCGATTCTTAACAGTGTGCATGTAAACACTTGATCTGATCCTCTTATTCTGATCGTGGAAAACTGACCTGACTACACATGTGCGACCTATGTGAACCTTACGTATTTCCACCTGGCTAGATGATAATATGTCTGGGAAGCAGAAGTGGTCGGTGAGCGACACAACATTTTTCTAGTAGAAACTTTGAAAGAGCTGTATTACCTGTAGCTCAGTCAGGGAGTGCAGTAACGGCTCCACCGTCATTAAAACTTGTCGCGGATCCATTTTAGGAGCTCAGGTTTGTTTACGTTCATCACGAAAGTAAAACAGAAGTAGAACTTCTTCTTCTGTGTTTATTTATTTATTTTTTATTTTTTTATGAGAGGTTACCACTCTGCGCATGTCAGTACTTCTATTCAGAATAAAAGCCCACTACATGTAAACACTCGTCGTGAATGGATTGTGCTCATGTAAACGATACATTCGGATTATTTAATCTGAAAACATTTCAATCCGATCAAATAATTTTGCGAATGTAAAATGTCTGTTTTCCATCATAGATGATAAAAAGTTATTTAGAGATCCATTTATCTCCAAACTGTTGAACTATTTGTTCATACAATACTTCAAACCTCCCCGTTCTTAAACACGGGACGTAATTAGCCAAAAGTCAGATGATTAATCTGCTTGATGCTTCACTCCAAATCTTTTAAATAAGTTTCTGCTGTCGGCATCAACATGAACACACTAATAGGTAATTAAAGATTAAAATGAATAAAGATGTTTTTCTGCTATTTTATAGGAATTGTTAGCAAATCATGCGTGCAGTTTTTTTGTAAATGTTATTTTGGACAGGATCCCAACTTTTCTTAGAACTGATGTTGAAAAACTTTATTTTATTATTCGTCTTCTCAGGAACTATAATAACTAGGAACATATTATTCTATAAAAAAACGATGCCACGCGGCGTATCACTTTTCAAAACATGGAGCTGCTTTACTTCCCACGAGTATATTCAAAGCCAGAACAATAAAATAAAAGTAAAACGGAGCTGAAGTGTTTTGATCTGTAAATTTGATCCAAATCAGTGAAATGAATTTAAAAGAAACACGCAGCACCAGCGTTCTCTTGGATCCTGTTTTAATGCTGACTTTGCTTCTTTAAAAAAAAAAAACAAGTTAAAGGAATTTTGAGTTGTCAGTTTCGTCTTTTTCTTTTCCGCGTTCTTCAGTTCTCCAACGTTGTGCTGAACTTGGACCAAAATATTGGATAAAAATATCCTCTGTTCACCTTACTCAACGAAGCCACACTCGAGGACACGAGAAGATTTTTAACTGGTTTTACTTGCAAGACGTTCAACACGCATGGAGCTCAGTCAGGAGAATCTGCACCGAGCATCGTGTGAGGCTTGTTTTTATAAGTTTATCAGCTCCCGGTCTCACAGGTCCTTTGACTGCCAGCTGCACATGTAGGATCAAATCAGCTCTCACTATTAACTCAAACATATAGTTCATGGGCAGTTCCCATTCTCAGCCATAGTAGTTTAAAACAACCGTAAATCTTGACCAAAATCCCGACACAAAATGAGCTCAATGTCCTGAATCTTTCCAACGGGTCTTAGAGCTTTTGTCACCAATAAGAAGATGTTGTTGCTCTCAGCAGAAACCCTGGATCTCAAGATGCAATTCTGTGGGAGCATGGAGCAACTTCTACTGTAAATAAAGAACGAATCGTCACCAAGCCTAGTTTTTTTTTTTTTTTTTTTTTCCAACCGTTATTTACACGGATAAATCACAATGAGCCTCGAAGACTCATTTACAAGTGAAACCTGTTTGGACAGACAAAGTAATGAAAGTGACATGTATAGGATTTGGAGGCAAAAAAGTTAACAGACTCTCATTCCTTGGCCGAGGAAAGATAGCCAGAAATTGAAAAAAAACACCTGCGCATAAGCACATAGTGACTCAGACATTCTGCAGGGGAGAGGAGACGACAAGAGCGGTGAGCATGTCCAAGGACACTCCAGAGGCACTGTAAGAGTTCTGATAAGAATGGTCCAATCAGCCAGTTCCCTCTGGTGAGAGCCGTAAACACTCTCGAGGGTGCCGAGGTCGACCTAGGACAGCGCCATGAGAGAACCCAAGAGTCCTGAAACAATGATACAGTGTTTATTCAGCCGGGTCCCTCTGATAGGTCCGCAGACTTCCTCGGTGGGAGAGGCGAGGGGGCAGAGTGTCGAGAGGCTCTGAAGCAGTTTCAGAGCAAAAGCAAAGTGGAGGAGGGGAAATGTGTCCGTCCTCGACAAGAGCAACTGATAAAGTGTTTCCTAGTTTCCACCTAATTTATAACCTAAATATAATTTGGTATATTTTGTAAAATGTTGAAAGTGAGGAACATCTGCACAGATCTTCAATGTCTGTCTCATGTTAATTTCACCATGTTCAGTTAAATCCACTTTTTTTTTTTTGCACTCATTTAAACTTTTTTCAACCTAAAAAATGTGCTCTCTCTCCACTTCCTTCGGGTAATTTAAGCTTCTTTCTGCTTTTTTAGCTACTATTCAGCTGTTTTTTTTTTTTGCACATGTATGCCCTTTTCAGGTAATTTGCACTTTTTTGTGTTCATTTCTGCTTCTTTAAGCCTAATTGGACATAACTGGGCTCTCTCCGCTTTCTTCTGGTATTTTAAGCTTCTTGCATTTTCAGTTACTTTTCAGCTATTTATTTATTGCTAATTTCAGCTTTTTTATTATTATGTTATATACAAAATAACATTCATTTTACATACATCAATTTCAGTTTGTTTTTTTAGCTAATTTATTATTTTTTGTGCTCATTTCGGCTTATTTAAACCAAATTCAGCAAATACGTCATATTTCTTCTTTCTTCTAACGTAGGCTTATTAATTTCAGCTACATTTCAGTATGTTTTTTTTAGCTAATTTCAGCTGATTTCAGCAAGTTCTTCAGCAATAAGGATTTGCACTGCATTTTCATAAGAAATACAATTTTGTTTCCTTTTCAAATCTGCTGAAGAATAATTTTTAGCTTTATGATGGAAACTCTCTTTAACTGGATGCTGTAAATTTGGCAGCGCGGCAGGTTAATGGTTACCGTTGCCTCTCAGCTAAAGGTCCTTGGTTCAATTCCCAGTTTGGACTTTCTGTGCAGAGTTTCCATGTTCTCTCCTCGTGTTTCCTCCTGCAGTCCAAAAAGATGCACGTTAGGCAGCCTTCAGGCCTGGGCCTCTCTTACAAAACACATCTGATCTCATTTGTCATATAAAGGTTAATAATTAATCCATTTATTTTTAAATTCAAGCCGTTCTTGAGTTTTACCATCTTATTGGTCACAACAGTCTACGGAGGGTGGAATGGGACAAAATTAAATAAATAAATATATCATGAATACATAAATGTAAATGTCCTGTTAAATAAATAAAAGCACCATAATATAAATAAACGGACCAATGAATGTTCCATTAAATAATTAAATGTACCATTTAATGATTTACTATATCATTAAATCATTAAATATAAAATTTTATTATAAAATACACAACTAATTAACTCAATGTTCCATTAAATAATTAATTATACCTTTTTAAATAATTAAATGTAATTTTCAAGGATTGTTTATTTAAAAATACACTTAATTATTTCACTGTTTATTTATTTACTTCATGGCTCCTGTGCAGCAGTATGGAGGGTGGACTGTGACAAAATAAATTGTCACAGTCCACCCTCCATATCAGTCTGAAGCATTTGGTGAAATCTAAATAAGTGTCCTGAAGATCAAATTGGAAGCAGGTTTTTATCATCTTGTTAGTCTGAAACTCTGAGTTCTTTCTCTCTTTTTTATAACCTGGATGTGAATATTGCTGAGTCATGTCTCGTTTATCATCTTCTGCAGAAAATGAAATGGTGTGACCTCAAACTGGTGCTTGTGTGTAACGAGGCCTCCTGCTGTGCGAGCCTGTAAATAAAAATGAAGCAGAAATGCCTAAAAGTCACGTAGCTCAAACGCCACACAAACATCTGTTTTTTGAGCCGTTTTAAAATTGGGTTGGATTCACAAATTCCCAGTTGACACATTTTGTCATGGTGTTTTTATTGTACGGCAGAGATAATAAGTTACTTATCTTTTAAGGATGAGTGACATCAGTGCAGCAGTAACTGCTTTAGCTTCTTCAGTGCCTTCATCTAACGGGGCTGTCGCCTTCTTGTTTACAGCTACTACAACTGGAAGACCCAGGTGTCCACGTCGAACTCCAGCACCAACTTTGAGGTGATTCATGACGACCCTAACGGACTTCTCTTTAAAAACAAAAAGGACAAAAAGATCCTGAACGTGGATCCATGGGTACGTTTTTTTTTCTTCTTCTGTTCCTGAAAAACCAGCTGTGAAGCTAACCAGGGTGAACGCTCAAACTAAAAACAGCCAAAATGTAACAAACGGCTAGCTTAAACAGCAGAAGGCCAGACAAAAGGCTAAGAGCTAAGAAGTAGCAATAGGTTAGCTTAAATGTAAAAGTATTGAATGGCAAGTTTAGAACTAAAAGGGGTAAGACTAACAAAAGTTTTACTGTAGCTAAATGTAGCAGAATAGCAGCTAAAAGTCAAGTCAACTTTATTTATAAAGCACATTTAAAACAACAGCTGTTATCAAAGTTAAAGTAAAAGCTAAAATTAGAAGAATGGTGGCTAAATGTTAAACATTACAAGTGACTACTGAAGCTAAAACCAAATTTGTGGAAGCAGATTCCAAAGAGAACAACATTTCTGAAGGAATTAAAGTTTTCTATGTATTTCTTTGGGGAAAGTATTTGTCCCGTAGTTTTCGGACTATAAGTTGCACTTAAAATCCTTTAATGTTCTCAAAAATCAGCAGTGAGCCTTATAATCAGGTGCGCCTTATGTATTAATTCTAGTTGTGCTTACTGACCTCAAACCGATTTTATGTGGTTATTGTGAATGAGCTGAATAAAGTTTGACTTATCTGACTGTTTTGTTTCGCTCAATGCGCCTCATAGTCTGAATAATACGGTAAATAAAGTATATTGTAAAGTGTAAAAGTTACAGAAACCAGAACTCATAGCACCCGTATCCTGAACGAGCTGAAGTTTCTGACGCGTAAAGAGCTAAAATAACAAACAAAACAAAGTTGTTGTGTAAAAACTAATAAACAAAAATCAATAAAACAGGAAACGGTGTGGAGCTAAATCTGCACAAACAATCCGATTAAATCAGCTGTTCTGTTGTGTACGTAAGCAGAAACTATATTAGATCTGTGGCCAAACTAACTATTCATAAGACCGGTCGAGCTTTAGCTGCTTGAAGTTTTAACCTCCAGGCTGATAATTAGATGTAAACTTCAGGTGGGGGGAGTCTGAGAACAAAAAGAAGTCGGAGGGAGGAGAAGATCTTTGCTTTCTACCTGCAGAAAGAACGACGGATCAGGGGGTCGAGACAGGTGCTTCCTCCCCAGTCCCAGTCTGACAGAGGCCCTGGAAAAATAACCACTGACAGGGATGGTTTTGATTTTCTCTGCAGTTTCCTTCTTTGCTGGGGGGTAGGGAAGTAGCTGGTGGAGCTGAACTATTTTGAAATTGCAGACAGAGCTGTGGGGACTGCGTTTTTGAGGCCACGAGCCAAAATGGCAGCAGAGTGTTCTTGCTGCGGTCGAGCCCCGCCCCGACCAGACCGTCTATTAAAAACGCAGCAGCTTGACGCATCAAACCACCCCGTAGGCCCAGAAACCCGGCCCGGCTCAGCTCAGGCTGGCACTGCTCAGAGCTGAAACCGCTCCAGTTCGAGCTGCTCACTGGAGCTGCAGATGAACCTTAAAGAGCTAAATGTAACCACGACGGATTCCTCTGCTTCTGTTGAACCGTGGACACTCGCTGCCAAAACAAAGAGGCGAGCGGGTCAGTGTCAGTGATGGTTTGACTGGTTTGGCTGCGCGTGAAACTAAAAGAACAAACTCGTAAAATAGAGTTTTATTTTTAGATAACACGATCATTAATAGCACGTTCTTGGTTTCCAGATTAACAGCAGCCTGTCATGTAGCAAGGGTCATTTTCATCCAACTTCTCTGCTGAAGCTCCTGCAAACAAAGAGACGGCCTCACTTATCACGACACCCACAAGTGTTGGAGGTACAAGTGTAAATTGAGGGTAATGGACAGACGCCCACCAGAAGCACTGGGGTTTGAATAAATGCTCCCAGCTGGTTGTGACGTCACGTCTTAGTCAGGTGGTTGTGTCAGCCTCGGCAATCGAACATCTCAGGAAGTAGAGCGTCAAATCAGGCTCCACTCACCTTTTAATGAAGCTGCAATTCAACAGAGACGTTTTGGGGTTTAGCAAAAATGCTAACATGCCGTTTCCATGGCAACCATTCTGTTTTTATTTGCATATTTTCCGATTCCATCTAATGAGCCTAATGGAGCTAACGATTCTGTGAAAGGGATGTTGTTCATTTGCATCTTTGTACAAGCTTGGTGTTTCTGTGAGCGTCTGGTTCTTCATTCCTGCGGGAAGAGAGGGTCTGATTCCAGACAAGATGAAAATAACTTGATTTATTAAGTTTGTCAATCTTGGTAAAAATAAATAAATTAAAGACAGACTTCACTGCAGATTTATGATGAAAGTTTTCACACGTTTGTTTTCATGTCCTGGATTTTTTTTTTTATTACTTCTGCAGACTTTGTGTTATTCTTGTTATGTGCATATGTGTGTGTATGTATATATATATGTGTGTGTGTGTATATATGTATAT